GTTTTCCTAATTGGAAATCTAATGTGTAAGGTGTCTCAAGAGTTGTCCTTGACTTTGTTAATTAAGAGCAATGTGATGCAGGTTTGGGTAATTATATTCAATTTAAAAAATGTATTCTACTCTGGAAGATTGCTGTTTCTATATACACAGATCCAGACAGTTCAGAAATGATATGTTTGCAGTGACCAAGCATCAGAACACTGACATATTTTGAAGGAGTCCTGTCTCCAAGATGTAGACTCGTCACTTCATTCTAAAACGTCAATGGAATAACATTTCTAACTGTAACTATAGTTATAGTTACAGCACAAACACAAATAGCATAACTGAAGAGTGGTTTTCCAAAACTTTGTAAGTCAGTTTTGACGAGCGCCTGATTCCACTACGATGCTACACACATACATAATACAAATTATGTATGTTTTAAGCATCTTGATGAAATCAGGCGCTCCTCAAAAACTGACTCACAGAGTTTTGGAAAACCAACTCTCATAGTTTTGGAAAACTACTGTTCAATTCTTTTGGCACATTTTGCTCCAATAGCAGCTACAACAAAAAGCTTTAAAAAAGAAATAATAATGGCCAGTTCCATTCTCCAATATAGTGGAAGAAAAACACACGACAAGTGGAGGTGTCACCGTAACTTATTGTGATGCACCGTGGAGAAATCAGACGCTCGTCAAAATAATGAAAGTGAACAAACTGGCATTTTTCCACAGATTTGGGAATTTTTGTCGAAAATTTGTTTTCTGGCTCAACACCTTCCAAGGCCAACAAAGAACACATTTCTGTGTGGATTGTACCGAAAAACATCGATATAAGGCATTAAAAAAGTAATCTTTTTGTTTCCACGGACTCTCAAGAAAAGGAAATAATTAAACTTTGGCAGCAACTTTCTCGCTAATTTTACCTCTGAGACCAGGTGACCCCGACCTCCTTCAATGGCAAATATCTCAAATTGTATTCAATGTAAATGGGTGTGTTTTTCCATTGAAAGCAAGAACAATGAAAATTTAAAAAAAAAATGATACTAATAACTCCACATGTTCAAAAACTGACGAGCACCTGATTCCACCATACCGTAACAAATTTCAATGCTGTTGAATGACACACGATTGTATCGATAGTAGTTATATGACCGCACAATGAACAATAAACTCCTCAGAAGTAAGCAGAGGCCATGTTTCAAATCTGGAATAAGGATCAACAGATCAAAAGGAGAAAGCTTTCCTTTTTACCATTTCTTGGACACACCACTATGCTTGCAAACGGCACTGGCGCTTGTAAACTACCATCTACAAACCATAGACTTGTGTATTTTGATATCCTAGACCGGGCACTCGGGGGAATTTCCGGTTTACCATGGGAAGTGACAGAACAGCCACCATGAAGGACAAAAGGGGGAAAAAGGGGGGGGGGGGGTGAGGACACACATATTTGACTTTTTTCTTGGTAAGTGTTTTACGGCGCTCGCAACTGCATAAGGTCTTATGAGCGCGTGGGGCACATTAAACATTTCAGTAGGTAGGACATTTTGAAAACAACAATATTTGTATTGTTGATGCTTTTTTTCCTTAGAAACGAAACATTTTTTCTCGCCAATTTCGGCCTAAAAGCGTAGCCATGGAGAGAAGATTTTGCAGCAAAGTTGTTTTCATCCGGAGCAGCTGCAGTGAACAGCAGCCATGACAGTGCCCGGTCTAAGCTCAGTACAACAGATCTATGGTGACAACAAGGAGTCGTGTGACGTGTGACGTGTGACGTGTGACGAGTGACGTGTGACGTGTGACGTGTGACGTCCAGTACATCATGGTCCGAGCACCCGGGCAGAGTTAGTAGCGCGAAGTGAGGGGAAAGAAGAGGTGTGTCGGTTACCTGTACCTTCGAGGCCGCCTCATATTTCCGCCTCAGGACCTCGCCCACCTTGCGGAAGTCCGGGGCGGCCTTCCAGCACGTCTCCAGCTCACACGAGCCTGACATGCCGTGACATTTACACTGCTCACGCACGTTACGGATCACTGCCTGGAGATGACAAGAACATTGTTAAATAAGATAGTCATAATAAGACAAATTTCTCCCTGCGAGATGAATAAAGATTTTCACTGTCATTGTCGTTGTCGTTGTCGTTGTCATTGAAAGTAAGTCTTTTTTATTTAGTAGAGGGTTTTACTGCGCCAGCAACTGCATAAGGTCATATGAGCGCCTAGGGGTGGGTGTCAACAGAGAGGTCTTAACAGGGAATCAGACTTATTCTGCTCACCTCTCTCTAGCTTCAACAGCACAAGGTCTGCTTCAACTATCAAGGCACCCCGGAAATAGCAGGTCACAAGAGAGTGACAAACATACATAAGAAGTAGAGGAAAATGACAATAGTAAAGATTAAGAAAGGAAAAACAGCAGTTCCCTGTTGTAGATCAGGCACAGTTATGAGTGTGACATGAATCAGCCCATTTACAATTCTAGTGTGCTTGAAGACACTACAGTCAGTGGCACTGCCCCG